TGGTGTCAGAGGGTCACTTTGTCGATGCACCATCCCATTTGGGCTGGAAAAAGGGCTTTCTTGCAGCCAGTCTCTTCCTGGAATAACAGAGTGAGAGCTTCACCCTGCACCCACTGCAGTGCTTTAGCCCAGCTTCCCCAGGGCATATCCACAGACTGCACAAGGTTGGGTTTAAAGGAAAAAAAAAAAAATTATTTGGGTTTTGGGGGCATCTTCCCCAAGAGCTGATAACAATCCTGACGCTGGTACACACTGATGCTGCTGAGGGGTCTCCTGGTCTCCCAAGTCTGGCTGAAGTGAGAGAGCTCTCCCTCCTCCTTTCAGCCCATCTGAGTGAAGACATTGCAGCCGGTCCTGTGAGGAAGCAGAAGCCCATCGGTTCCTGGCTGGCGGAGAGGCAAGAGTCCCAGCCGGGTGTCCCTTGGCTCACCTGGTGGCTTTCCAGTTGCTGGCTGGGAAAACTTCTTCCAGCTGACGGCGAAGCCAAAGGTGCACTGCCCGTCCTCATCCAAGTGCTGGGAGCTGACAAGGGGGCACGGCTCGATGGGTTTCTGGGCGCTCGACACAGCGGTGCGGTACCCGCTGGAGAAGTCGCCCTGGCTGTCGACTGTGGACACGTGCATCCTGGAGCTCAGCTTGCTCTCCCACCAGCCGGTCAGGTTGCAGTGCCGGGAGATGAGCAGACGTGTCCTCGGGGGCTGCCTGCACACAGCCCCTACCCCTGCCCCGCAGGCTGAGCCCCCTGCCTGCACCCCCCCGATGCCCACGGAGTGCCAGCCTCACCTTGCCGTACCTTGTGGAGTGTTTCTGCTCCCAGCTCAGCCACCACTTCGTGTTGGTCGCCTCTGCCTCCTTTGTGCCAGCCTTTTCCCCCCTGGGAATCTCAGCTGCCTGGCAGAGGAGCTTGGAAAAGAAAGAGAACTCAGGGGCAAGCTGTGGGCAGTGGCACAGCAGGGTGCCTCCGGAGCCCCGTGAGTGTTCAGGCATTTTTAAGAGACATGATTTATAAAGTCGATGCCATCTCAGCCGTGTCAGGAGGGCCAAAAGCTGGGGTAAGCCAAGCAGAAGGGGAGAGGTGAAAAGGAAAAGCTAAAGACAGGAGCCCCAGACAGGTAGGAATACAGGCAGGACCCCCGCTCCAGCCCTGCCAGGTGAGCTGTGTGACCCCACAACATGTCTGCTTGTGCATGTTGGGGATGTGTGCTGTGCTCGGCACCAATGTGTGGAGAGTGGCTCAGCACGAGTGGAGAGCCCAGTGGGATGGGCAGAGCCCTCGGGTTCACGCTGGGCTCCTGCATGGCCAAGGAGGCGGCACAGCCAGTGCCCTGCAGCATCCCACCTGCAAGGCTCCAGCTCCCGCTCCAAGCACTGCCTGTCATCTCCCACACCTCACCTCCCCGGTCAAGGGCAAGCCACCCCCTGGGGCAGGGTCCTCAGGTTACCCCTGCCCCAATTCACCTGCATGTCCCTGGGGTGGGGGTCCCCAACATGCATGGCCCCTGCACCAGGGAAGGGATCCCCATGGACATCCCTCCCGGGGACAGGGACAACCCCAGAGCATCCCCCCCACCTCGGAGCACCCGCCTTGGCAGGAGGTCCTGTCAGTGTCCTCCCTGGAGACAGGGACAGGGATGGGGATGGGCACCGGGACAGGGCTGGGGATGTAGACAGGGCTGACTGGAGCTGCCTGCTGACGTGGCCCAGCCTGGGGGGTACCTGGCCGGGGTCCCAGTGTCTCC